TAAACAAATATAGGTAAATTAATACGAATAAATATATATATGGATAATCGTAAATAGCGAGAAAGAATATAAATATTAGAAATGTATATACGCTTAGGAATCCTCCCAGGAGTGGGTCAACGATCCAAGTAAGGGGCTTAATGCAGCATGTACCGGTTCATTATCACTACTTGAACGGCCTATTTACGGTGGAAATGAAAGCTAAAAAGGAGTGATGTCCCAATATTACAACAGCATCACAAAGAAACCAACAAGGGAGAGGGAGAAAGCAGGGGCTGCCTGGGCGGCGAAAGCAAGGTATACCAGCAGCCTAGCAAGGGCCTCACTGCTCTTAGCGTTCATTTCTTTTTAGGTGTCGTTAGCAGACAGAGGGGAGGGAAAAAAGAAGGAAAGCGGAAATACTCTATCGGATAGTTTATCAGCTGATGCTTATTTTATATGAGAAGGGGATGGGTGAAGGGAAAGGAAAGCAGGTTACTGGAGGGTTCGTCCGCACTCCCGGACTGCGTCGCCTTCCAGAGCCACCCCATCCTGCCTGCCATCCACGCTGTGAGACCTTCACTGGCTTTTGTTACTGTCTTTGACTGGCCTCGCGCGGGGCTCTTCGTGCGGCTCTTTGGACACCACGTTGCCATCGATGTCGATGTCGTCGCACACACGAACATTTGGCAGCAACAGGGTCAGCGGGATGATCAGCAGCGGTGCTAAGATGCTGCCGATGATGACGAGCCACACGGCGTTGCTGAAGTCGCACGGCGGCTTACTTTTGATGGGCCACACGTACTCCATCAGGATGGCACCTATCGAGGTGCTAGTGGTGCTGCTAAGGTTGGAGAAGCCGGCCAGGATCGCATACACCGTGCTCTCGGAGCCGCGCGGGCACAGACGCGACAGCAGTATTACTGTTGCCATCCACGAAATCATGCCGATCAGTGGTGAAATAACAGTGCTGGTGCCGATGTAAAAGGCGTGATCGGGAATGCCGATCTTGATATTCCAGCGTTGGAGCATGGCGATCTCAGGCAACACAAAGGGCAAGAGTACGAGCGTGGTTGAGATCGTGATTACGCGGTAGTTGGACTTCGAGAAGAAGTATTTGAACACCACGATACCGATTAAACTAGACACGGTGGAAATGATGGTGCATACTACGTAGAGAAAAGTCAGGGAGAAGTGCGGCCCACCAGGTACGCAATCGGGTCCAGCGATGTAGAATTTGCTTATCCCGGGAAAACTTATGCAAACTACTCCAGAGAAATAATTAAACACATTAACCTTTGCGATGGTGCGCGGCAGAGCCCAGAAGGACATCACAGAGCACACCACGGAGACCACCATAGAGATAATAAGCAGCCCTAGTGTGTCTGCGAAGAGGTTGCCGAGACCCAGGATGATGGCAC